TGCAACAAGAAATATAAAGTGAGAAAATATCATAATAATAATAAGCAAAAAGACTACGTGTCATATAACACATGTCATCACTCACATGATTGGCTTGTAGGGTACCTATGATTAGCACTATGTACATCTTGAACAAGGTTCCTAGTAAGTCGGTTCCATCAACTCTATTTTAGTTATAGATTGATAGAAAGCCCAATCTGTGATATTTACATATTTGGGGGTGTCCTACAGAGATAAGAGTATTTAATCCACATGAAAAGAAATTGGATCCAAGAACTATTTCTAGATATTTTATTAATTATCTAAAAAAATCTAAGGGATATTTATTTTATCACCCTAATCATAATCATAGTATGAGAATAGTATAATCTACTAATACAAGATTCTAAGAAAATAGTGAAATCAATTTTGATATTGAGGAGATTCCGGTTAATTCTCCTATATCATCTCCTATTCGAGAAATTATTGTTTCTTAAATCAATGAGAGAATTTACGAGGGTGAACAACAAAATAACATCGATGAACTCCCATATAATGTTGATGTCACCATTGATGATCTGGTAGAACAATCACAATTGGTAGCTTTGAAAAGATCTCAAAGGAAAAGGAAATATGTCAATTCTAATGATTATATGATATATCTACAAGAATCAGATTATGATATAGGAATAAAATGAGACCCCTTATCATTTTCATAAGCTATAGAAAGTAATGATTCTGAATAATTGTCTGATGCAATGAAATAAGAGTTAAAATCAATGATCCAGAATGGTGTTTGAGAACTCGTTGAATTTCCCAATAATTGTAAAAGAGTCGGTTGTAAATGGGTCTTTAAGACAAAATGTAACTCAGTGGGCAAAATCAAACGATATAAAACTAGATTTGTGGCCAAAGGTTTTTTTCAGAAAGAAAGCATTAACTAAAATGAGATTTTTTCTCTAGTTTCTAGAAAGGATATGTTGAGAATCGTCATAGTATTAGTAGCTCATTATGATCTTGAGTTACACTAGATGGATGTGAAGACAATATTTCTGAATGGGGATATGGATAAGAAAAACTATATGGAACAATTTAAAGGATTCATAGAAAAGGAAAAAGAAAGTTAGGCTTGTAAACTTGAAATCCATTTATGGCCTTAAATAAGCTTTTAGACAATGGTATATAAAGTTTCATGATACCATTACTTCCTTCATATTTAAGAAAAATACTAATGATCAGTACATATATATAAAGGTAAGTGGGAGCAAGTTTATTAATTGGTATTATATGTGGATGATATTTTACTTGCTAGTATTGATCTTGGTTTATTGCACGAAATCAAAATATTTCTTAGTAAGAACTTTATTATAGTTGATATAAATGAGGTAGTCTATATTATTGGCATTGAGATATTTAGGGATAGATCTCAAGGATTATTAGGATTATCTCAAAAAGGATATATTAATCATATCTTGGAGAGATTTAATATGCAGCTTTGCTAGCCAATTATACACTTGAGGTAAAAAATTCAGCCAAAACTAATGCTTGAAAAATAACTTAGAAAGGAATCAAATAAAGAATATCTCTTATGGGTGCGTAATTGAAAGTCTATTATATACTCAAACCTATACAAGACCATATATCAATTTTGAAGTTGCAATGCTAGATAGATACCTGAGCAATCCAAGAATGGAACATTAAAAAGCTATAAAGAAAATAATAAAATATTTATAGGGGACAAAAGATTATATTCTCAAATACATGAGATCATATCAACTTGAAGTGATGGGATATTCATATGCTGATTTTGCAAATTAACTTGATAGTAGGAAGTCCACTTCGGGATATATATATATATATTCATGTTAGCTGGTGGGATAATTTCTTGAAAAAGTACAAAGCAATCACTTATTACATCATCAACAATAGAAGTTGAATTTGTGGCATGCTTTGAAACCCCAAATCAAGCTTTATGGTTACGAAATTTCATCTCAGGACTTGGTATGGTCGACTCAATTATCAGGCCGCTAAAGATATTTTATAATAATACGATAATAGTTTTTTCTTTAAGAATAACAAATATTCTAGTGATTCCAAGTAAATCGAGATAAAGTACTTGGTGGTTAGAGAAATAGTCTAAAAACACTGAGTGTCAATTGAGAATCTGAGTACCACTATGATAATTACTAATCCATTTTTCAAAGTTTTACAATATAAAATATTTAAAGAATAAGTTCTTAGAACGAGGCTTGTGAGCAAGCCATGAAAAATATAGTGATGTACGTTTAGGTGGATGTTATTATTGATATTTTTTTCTTACTTAATTAAAATTATTTATTTTTATTATTCTGTTTATATTTATGTTTATGTATATTATAGTTGAATGTAATAACATGACTGCCTTGATAAGATAAATTACAAGAGTCATTATGGAATATATTAAAAAAAATTACCAATGTCATAGTACATAGAAAATAGTATAATATTGATGATATATAACCGTTATGACTCGCTAGAGGACTTTAAGTAACACACCTTCGACAATGTCCAACCTCCTCTCCTCGGCCATAATCTCCATGTAAAGATCGATGTTCAAAGCAGAACTCATAGTGCTTCTTAGAAGGTGGAGTCACGGTAGTGACCTTGGATCTTCTACCTTTGATCGATTAACAGTGATGACGATCCTTGATGATCCTCGATCTCGATTAAGACCGACTTAGAGGTTGAGGACGATAAGAGAGAGAGAGAGAGAGGCGTAGAAATAAAAGAGGACTCCAACATGTTTTCTACAATATATGACACATTTGATCAAGACACTATTTGTTCCACTCGAGTTTAACATACTAAATCAGAACAGATGAATTTATATGTGTACTCTAATGATCTCACAGTTAGCAAAAACTTGTTGCTCTCACCAATGTTTTTCTTAAAACGTTTTACTCTGTGATTTTTCTTTTGCCAATCACTACAATCCATTTAACATCAATGAATGCTGTTTTGTTATATATTTTTAATATTTTTTTTGAAAAATAATTGACGAACAAACATTATTATAAACTATCATCTTAATCTAAATTTTTTTTATATCATATGATTGACTAAACCTCTCAACTAATTCTTCAAAGACTTAATTCTAAATTTATGATCATCTTATGCATCATAATGATAACTTTGTTGTTCGATAATCATCGTAGCACGTTCCACGATGTGCTGATTGAAACGATGACAGTAACAATGGTGATAATAATGAATGTATGAGTAGAAAATCATGGGATCGAGTCTTAAACTCTCTAATAGTCTTCTGGGTTTAACTATACGAATACGAATACAGGTACAATTTAGGGACTACAATGTTATTCAGGTTATTTAGTTAATTATTTTTTATTCATTGCTATAACTATTTTTTTTATATTTAGGCCTTTTTTACTTACCTTATTTTTATTCTGATAAATCTATCATCTTCTGTTATTGGCATACTAAATCTTATTAAGAAACAACAATAACGGGACTACATGTTAATTGAGTTTTTTTTTTTTAATTTATTGCTCCACATTTTCTTTTATCATTGATGTTTGTGTTTTTTTATTCATATTATTTCTTAATAGTATGACTAAATTTCTTATATTCATCAGACTAATTCTCCAGAGACTTCGATTCTAAATTGATGAAACTATTTTTGTGATCGTCGAAGCATATTCCCAAAAATAATCGAACCCGTCAGTCATATACCCGCTTGACCTAGCGGTGTGAATTGTGATGATGGAACAAGGGGTCCACCACAAGCCCCACAAGTGGGTGAGTCGACAATTAAATTTCGCCAACGTCATTGCTGGAGCGACCGCTGCCGTCCAAAACCCAAACGTAAGAGTAATCGGACGGTCTAGAATTATCTTCAGTACCTAATCCGTGTCGCCCCCCAAAACCGTCATCCGAGTCAACCCCCATGGGGGCTACTGTTTGTCGACACGTGTCCCTCGCCCGATCCTTCCTCCTCTTTCCATCGAGATGGTGCCGCGACCGGGTACCCTCCGATTGCCGGTCCTCGATGCTACCCGTATAAAAGCTTTCCCAACTCCTTTTCCTCTTCCCTTTCCCTCTTCTATCTTTTGCCGATTATTTTGTGCCATTTTTCTGCTCCTAGAAAACTTCGTCGAGTTCAAGAAGAACACAAGGCAATGACCTCCGATCCATGAATCATGTGGAATATCGTGGAAGCACCTGTTCTTTAGATTGATTGATCTGGGGTCTGTCTTGAAGACATTCTTATACGGTTTTCTATTCTTTTAGGGAGAATCGTGATCTGTTGTTGTGATTTCTGTAGATTTCCTTGGTTTTCCTGCTTAGATCCGTTGATAAGTGGTGTTGCCATTGCTAAAGTTGGGATTTTGTTGAGTTTGTTTAGGTTTTGTATAATGTCGACGAATTCGGTGGCAAGCATCCGATCTATGGTGGTTCTCTTTAGGAGATTTGGTGCTGTTAGGGGATTTTATTTACATTTTTTTGCTGATTTTGATTAAGTTTGACATTGTAGAGGGATTTTAATTGCTTCACAATTGCTTGCTTCCATTCCTTCGCAGTTGACATTTGGAGCTGGAACCTCTTCTCGGAAAAGGAAAGTTCAATTTTTAGAGGGCTGTTATTTGAAAAGGAGCAACTTTTTCTGAGGTGATTACCTTTGTTCCGATTGGATCTCTACATATTTGATATCACACGGTGGCGGAGAGGTACTAGATTGCGAAACGGTACCACCGCTTGAAAGGTCACTTTGAATCATTGCTTCTATTTCTAGACAGTTGCATTAATGGCTCGGAAGGGATCAGGTTACCCGGCACCGAATCCTCACCCCCATTGATGATGTTGGACGGAATGCACGGAAGCAAGGCTAATGGATCTTCAACCGGTGGTGGCAACGAAGATCCTGAGTCCTCGGAGAGCGTGAAGGATGCGAGAGTCAGGAAACCCCCTCGACACCTCTCGGTCATTCGGCATTCCGTGAGCACTGCACGGCTGGTCCGTTTGGCTAGATTAGTGTGTTTTTATTTTTCCTTTATGAGCCTGTCTTTTTGAACCTGGCAATTCCATCGCCATATTTTTAATGATCATGACCCAATTGCCTAATTTTTCCAGGGTTTGGATTTGGGGACTCTTGCTTTGATTTCTCCACAGGAAAGGCAGACTGGATTCTTGCCTGTGTTCCGGTCGGGAAGCTGTTCAGAGATCGGGCCCAAGTCACACATGGAGGATGAGCACATCTGCATAGATAATCTTGTCGAACATCTTAGAGCTTCCCCCAGTTTCCCATCTCCTGGTGCTTTTTATGGAGTGAGATTCACTTATGTGGAGTTCAATTCTTCTCATTTCGTGATTGTTACATGGTCTCGTATTTGGCCATAATGTGCTCTGCTGCTTAGCATTTTGTTGACCTCTTGATCTTTCAGATATTGTTCTTAGCATTTGATGGTCTATATTGCTGTTGTAACCCCCTTTTTGGTGATTGCAATTAATGGTGTCAATATTTTGGACCCTGTTACAGTTAGTGATCTGCTGAGCGGTCACTGAGATTAAGCAGTTTGAATTTGCAGGTTTTTGATGGACATGGTGGTGTGGATGCAGCATATTTTGTTCGAAATAATATCCTTAAGTACATAATTGAGGACGGCCATTTCCCGTCTAGTGTGGAGAAGGCCATAAAGAGTGCATTTATTAAAGCTGATTATGCGCTTGCTGATTCCCATTCACTTGATCGCACTTCTGGAACTACAGCACTTACTGCCCTTATTTTGGGAAGGTAAGGTTTGATGTTACTGCCTAACAGTATTTATCCTGTAAGATGTAATGAAGTTGATGTGTTGGTAGTTGAATGTTAATGCTTTACGAACATTTTACTGTTCAATAGCCGAGAACTGCATTACGTAAGCACTATAAGGCCTTGAATGTAACGGCAGTTATCCAATATATTTTCTGTGGAAGCGCATAATTTATCATTGTAGATTTTCTTTTGAAATTAATATTTATTCTTCATCGTCAACAAAGTTTTCAGTTTGTCCGAAGACGTGATTATCTCATGTCGACAGATCAACAGTATCAAATCTGTAATATTTAAGGTCTGAATGCAATTGTTCTGTATGACATTTTCTTTCAAGTCCTTTGATATTGGCACTCTTTACTGCCCATGTTACTTCATAATTAGATCTGTCATGCTTTGTGCTGTATCATAATTTAATTTGTGGTCAGAGAATTGACAGTTTACAGAGTCTTTAGGTGGAAAATTTTGCTTGGATAATTTGATATGTTGTATAACTTCCGTGTTCAAGAAACATGCAAGATCTTTCGATTGTTTATTTCTATTGCTCTCCTCTAGGATTTGTTATATGCTGGTTAATATTAATTGAATACTTGATTTTCTTCGACGAGTTGCCTGTACGTTATAAATTCTAAATTTCTTTCCCTTGTAGGTCGTTGCTCATTGCTAATGCAGGTGATTGCCGAGCTGTATTAGGGAAGCGTGGCAGAGCAATCGAACTTTCCAGAGACCATAAACCTAACTGCAATGCTGAACGGCTTAGAATTGAGAAGCTAGGTGGCAGTGTTTACGACGGATATCTTAATGGTCAGCTATCTGTAGCAAGGGCTCTCGGTGACTGGCACATGAAGGGCTCCAAAGGTTCTGCGTGCCCCCTTAGCGCTGAACCAGAGTTACAGGAAGCAATCCTAACAGAAGAGGATGAGTTTTTAGTAATAGGCTGTGATGGCCTTTGGGATGTCATGAGCAGTCAATGTGCAGTGACGATAACTAGGAAGGAGCTGATGCTTCACAATGATCCTGAGAAATGCTCGAGAGAGCTTGTGCGAGAAGCGCTGAAGCGGAACACTTGTGACAATCTAACTGTCGTGGTCATCTGCTTTACTCCAGATCCGCCACCGCCCATTGAGATCCCGAGGACTCGAGTTCGAAGGAGCATATCCTTAGAAGGTCTACATGTCCTAAAGGGTGCTCTGGACGGCAACATTTGATGCTAAACTTTTAGTTCCCCATTCTTCCATTCTGTAGCCTGTAAAGAATGGAGGCTCTCGACATATTTGGCCTCCATTTCCAAATAAATCATGTCGGCTGGTGTATTTTCAATGAGGCTGTAGGTAAATTTTGTAGATTTGAAATTTAAGTTTCTATGAATAACATTTGATGAGTCTGTAACTTAAATCAATTTGCCTTTATAAGTATTATTTCCTTTGATTTTGCTGCCCTGAGAATCTTATTTCACGATGGAGGGGTTGCATTTTTGTGAGATACAAGGTTATATATTTGAACAATGAGAATCTTTGTTGCTGACAAAAACATTATCTATATTTCTGAAACTAACTTTGAGCATTGAAGCATATCAAACTTCCCTAACTCATTATGTTTAGGACTAATCTTCTGCATTCCTTCCTTTCACAATGTTGTGATCCCACCAAATTACATTATTGAAATCTTTGTTCATGTATGAAAAGAATTAAGGAAATGAAAAATGTTAAATGTCACAGATGATGCTTTTGTTCCTTGTCACTGAAAAACCCCGGAGGTAACCTGCAATAAGGAAAATATTTCTAGTGAGATATCTCCCCACCTCAAGAAAAGCAATCTGATAAATTGATGAGAACTAGCATCAAAACCTTATGAGATCAAGAAGATGCTTAACGTATACCACTTGATCTTAGCCAAAAGGCCGACAAAGGTATAACACTCGATCAAGAAACGAATATGCTCGTTTACCTGCAACTTTGCGGAATGCTCCACGAGAACCTTCTCTTCATCTCTGTGTCCTGCGGCAGTGACATGAACTTCCTCCAGTCGTCGAGCATCGCTCTCAAATCGTCGATCTTTTTGCCTAATCCGATACAGCAGTTGGCGTGCATAGTGCACACCTTATTAAGATCTCTGCTTGGCTCGCAAAACCCACCGAAGCGCTCGGTGCTCAGAAACTTAATGCTCACTCCCATTCGACTCACATATGGATCGTACTTGATGATGTTAAGCACGTTCTGCTCATGAACTCCAGGGAACCTCAATCGCGACGAGTACCAATACTTGTAGAACTCGATGCTTCTGTGGTTGGACTTGACGTAGTTGAATCCGTTGTTCGGCCAGTTCTTGAGATTAGTAGGACCCCCCAAAAAATTGTCGCAGGAAATCTGGAAATCTCCATCTGCGTAGAAGTATGGCAATGGATTCCGGAACCACATCACATCTACATCCTGCAATGCAACCAGCGGTGGAGTTGATCAGATGCTCTGTTACCATATCACCAAAATCATGTCAATGACTGTCGAGAATGGTGGTTAATCTCACCACACTACGCAACTGTTATCTGATACCACCAGACTTGCAGTTGAGCTCCCAGAATTGTGGTTTTTCTTTTACAAGTATTTGATATATAATAATTAATTGTCATGAAACATAGTAAATGTGACGCTATGGAGAGTAGCTCATAAATTGCATGAAATCATGAGCACACATTGGAAATAAAATGATTAGTATGACGAACTCAGAAAAGGACTTTTTGGGGACGTCAAATAGAAATTAATTTTATGAACAATATGATTTCGAGCGTAAGCTATTCGTAAGTATTTATTTATTTATTTATTAATAAGCTATTTATTTATTTATTTTTATTTATTTATTTATCTGTTCGTAAGTAAGCTATTCGTAAGCTAGTAGAGGAGACACGATCCATTAATTTTATTTATTTATTTCTCTATTCATAAGTTTTTTTTTTTTTCAAATACCATCTTTTTTCTTTTTAATCAGAACTAGTGCATTTAAAAAAAGCTTATGGCCTTCCATGAGACATGGATGACCTATTTATTATATTCTTAACATTTCCATTCTTCAAATGGTTTTATTATTCTTCAAAATAATAAAAAACATCAACCGACATGATTTTATGGGAAAGACCGACACTTTCCCATTCTTCAAATGGTTCCTACCCCCGTGGAAATTGGAGATGTCACGTGGGCTCATGTGGGACTGACGTGCCTCTCATTTGCAGGTGGGGAGACGTAAGTGGGGGTAAAAAAATCATATTTTTTTCCTAGATTAGGTAGCATAGGCCATGAAATAATGACCTATTATGTTTGACCCCAATTCATCTTATTGTTCTCCACTATCTGTCTTTTAAAACATGAAAATGACATTAATATTTATGCAAAAATTTAAACTAGCTAATCTTAGTCAATATTGCATAAAGAACATTAATATCATTTAGAATCCATATACCAAAATCACTATTTAGGAAGCAAAATTTATATATGATTTTTATTTAATTGAAGGTAGGACTCACCGAGAAGATGAAGTTGTAGCCTTTCTCAAGAACTAGGCGAAGGAAATCCAGCCTCGCCCACATCATGTCCAAGTACTCGGGCGTGTTGAAGACCTTCTCGCCGGAGAAATCCACCCCCTCGGTCTTAAAATCGAAGCAGTGGCGGTGCACCGCGAGGCACCGCTCGTACGCCTTGTCGTCCACCGCGACGATCACCAGGTGGTTCAGCAGCTCGCGCGTGCCGTCGCCGACGCGGAAGCTCTCGAGGAACAGATCCAGCACCGATCCGGGAGCCGACCAGAAGCCGTTCAGGGAGGTCAGTATCACCGTCTTGTCCTCGGTGGCCGCCTCCCTCAGCACTCTCTCCAGCCTCTCGTCCTGCCCTTCCTGCTGCAACCACCACAACGAGACCACGATACTCATGCTCCAGGGATCTTTCTTCTTCTCCTCCTCCTTTTTCCTAGCTAGTAAAAGTACTTCACGGACTCACCGGGGGAGGAGAGGAGCTCGGCGGCGGCTCGGAAGAGACGGCGGCGACGACGGTAGGCGCTTGGTCTACGCGGAGGGACGACTGGGGGAAGGGCAACGCGGGCGTGGTTGCGCGGTAGAGCAGGATGAGAGAGAGGGCGACGACCACGAGGAAGGGGAGCGGGGCGAGACAGCGGCGGGTGATGGCGTCTGCCGGGTTGCCGCCGAAGACGGAGGCGGCGGGGGAGGAAGACTTCATGGCAGCGGATGGGGTAGACAAGCAGGAGCGCGTCTTCCTCCACGGAAGCACTGGCGATCGGTTTATAGCTGGAAAGAACGGGGAAGACTCCATGAAGGATTCGCTCTTTGGCAACGGATGCTGTGGGTATCGCGTCGGTGTCTCCACGTTGGTTGAGCTCTCAACGTCGACGAGTGCACCCCAAGTCTATGCTTCCCCAAACAGGCTCCCATGTCGGGTCCTTAATCTGCGATAGCGAAGCGATTGGGCTCGTGCCATGTAAATCTGATTCGGTCCAGACTCGCTTTGCCGCGCCCAAACAGACGGCTTGATTAGACTGCTGCCGGCGATCAGATCATTGGTGACCTACCAAGGAGGGCCCCACGACCGGGCTCGGTCACATTGGCATTTCTCACACGCCACAAACAAATTATTGACTCTGATCCGATTAATTCTATATTAGATACGAGCTAAGTTTTAATTGGTGTAAAAGAAAGAAGAAAAATTAGTGTCATGTTACTAAATAGCAAAGTCAAAATTATATTGATATGCATGTGGCTCACTCATACACCATAAGGAGCTCAAGTAGTAAGTCAAATCGGTGTGTGGTTCGTAACTTGGACCGATTCGATGAGACCAAAACTATTAGTTAGACCTAATCCAAGCCACGGACGATGCGTCACATCAACGTGTTACTCGGGATTTGGGGATTGACATGACATGCCCCCATTGGAAAAAGTCTTGGTGACGAGAATACCTCGAAATTATTGGCTAATTAATATAATATTAATCTAGAAATTGATGAAGGAAGCTAAACGTTCTTTGTTAATCGGTCAAACAAGTCTGCCAGATTCGCAGGAACAATATTTAATCACTGTCTTGGGTTTGCTAGGACGTTTCTTTTTTGAGGTTGATACGTGGATGCATCCGAGTTGATAGAAATGTTGAGGTCAACTCTCGAGAACGATACAATAATATCCTACCAAACCAATGGAAACGAAGCCAGGTCAGGTGCATGCACCAACCTTGTTTAGTTTCTGCCTCGGAGCCTCCATTATCGAATTAGTACCTCAAGAGGTTGTGTATTAATTTTCGTTTTTTCAGATCAAAACACCGTATTATATAAACGATTAGCGATTTGGTTGCCACAAAGAGAATCAACAATACCAGAAAATGATTTTGATTGCAAGAATAGATCGATTGATGATGATTAAGTTTCAACGTTGGCACAACAACCGACGATGATTAATAGTGACAACAAGAATAATGAAACGAAAATGAATTATTATCCGCGATAATGGTAAGTAGAGAGATGACAAAGACAGGTGTTGGTCGTAGTAATCAATGTCGATGGGTGGAAGACGATGATAATTAATAATAATTATGTGATTGACTGATATTAAACCCGAAGCACCTCAAAATTTCCAATTGGAGAGCTGCAAGAACAAAACAAAAAGATCTCTCCAAAATGAAGAAACAGCAATGAGATGGCCATTTTGTCTATTCCAATCCAACGCATGAAGACCTCCACTAGCTTTTTCTTTGAGTTCTGTTGTGTTCTAATTTGGCTGATGATGAAACTGACACTTGACCTAAACTTTAACATAATCCAGGATAATTTATCGAAGCTTCCACACCTACTTCTCAAAATCTTTTCTTCCATGGAATAAGAGATCGATCGATCGAGTTTCTCTCAGGTACATGGCTCTCGTTAAGTAGTTCTCTTGGCCTTCACCACGAGGGAATTCTTTTGGCATCTGACCTTCGTGTTGGAACAAAGTCCTCAGAGGACTTTAAAGTAGTTCTCTTTGTCTTCTGTCTCTCAGGAGACTTTGTTGCACAGCGAAAGCAAACGAGAATAGGTGACTCCATCTACTGCAATCTATGGAGGGGGGGAGCAGAAGAGGCAACCTTGATTCGGTATAATATTGTACAAACGATAACGAAGATGAAATGAAATATAAGCAATAATTAGTCGGAGAATATATTTGCCAGTCTTTTCGTCTACTAATCAGTAAGTTTAATATATTATGTTATAAGTGATGTTATAAAATCATAGGTTGTTTTGTTCTTCTGCTTTTAATTCTATTTATTTGACTTTTGATCATGAAATTTTGTTTATATATACATATTCATTCATTTATTAATATATATTGATATGATGAATAGTATTTCGGATCAATTAGACTTTAACCTACAGAGTCTAGTCAAAAAAGCCTAACATATCACCCTGAGTCGAAGGAGAAAATATTATTTGAAATATTTTTATTTTAAAAATATTTCTAATACCAATAAAGTGTACCTCAATTTTAGTTTTATCGATTGCGATGTAAGAGACTCACTTTAAATCGATAATAATTAAATGAGATCATCATGAGCAATTTTTTTTCACTAAAAAGGAAAATGTTATTACTAAATTAGAAAGAAATAAATTATCTCCTGGTATCGAAGCATAACAAAAAATATAAACGAGAGGGTCACTCCTCTCTCAGAAAACCTACAGACTTTCTCTCCCCAACATATGTCGTCAACCAATTGATCAACTTCATTTTATTCATTAAATACATGAGAAATCATAGGAATAGAAGAAGATTTCCTTTGCGAACAATCCAAGGAATAGAAGATTTCCTTTGCAAAACTCTGGTAAGAATCAACGAGTCAAGATTCAGCATGCATACAAGTAAAACCAGCTAACTACCACCTCTTGCACCCCATTTAGCACACCATGGTCCCTCGATCCAGAAATCTACAGTCAGTACACTATGTCTGTCGATTCCTTGGTGTGATTGTTTCTTACAGAACCATTATAGTTCAGCTTAACTCATCTCTCGAGGGGAGGAACCCACTATGTCTGTCGAGGGAGCTCTTTAGCATAATGCCATTAGGAATATTTGTGCTCAGATCGATCCGACAACCAAATGAAACACAATAGACACTGGTTTCAAAGAATGGTTATGCACAGTCAGTCTCATTTCACACCCTTCACGACCACCACAACTCGATAGCAACTACAGCCGTATGCATCAAACCCAGATCTCCTCCTATTTGTGCTCCCTCACGGATCCAATCCTCAGCACTCCAAGTGGTCCCATGCAAGAACCTAATTTGCAATCTACACTCCATTAAATGTCACAAAGAGAGAAAAAAATTAGTAAGACAAGTATAAATGATCAAAACTTTCAAGCTTTAACCCATACAAGCGACAAAGGAAAATGTCTCCCACACCCGTTCGAGCAAGTCTGTCCGTCAAAGAGAATGCAACGGTGCAAAAGCTTTCAGCGGAACAGTTTGATCCGAGGCACCACTAGCTTGAGTCAATTGACAATAATAATTACGTAGTGTGGTCATGCACAGCAAAAATGTTGTGAGGATCGAAGTCGGTCAAATAAAATGAACTCGTCAAAGCTTGCATGAAATGCCTTGTGGCAGTGCTTGTTGATTGCCTGAAGCATACGAGAAAGCGGAATTAGCAGGAAGATTGGAGGCTTAAAGAAGCTACGGAATTGGCGAGTGTTCCTTCAGGAACGACTTCTTTGAAGGCAAAATATGTCTGAAAAAACCATGGTCTTTCCTTGGGTTGAAGAAGTCAATACAATTCCGAAGAAAAGCTAGTGCTGAAATGTTCATTATCCATTCTCATTTGAAGAATTTAAAAAATTTATTGTAAAAGAAAAATTAGCATTCATTAAGATAATATATACTTTTATAGGTCTTGAGGAGAAATTTTCTCAATCATGCATTTAAATCATACACTCAAATATATGATTAATCCTTAAATCATAAATTGATTGAGGATCAAAGCATGTATAAAATATAAAATTATTATTTTATATTTATTTTATCATAATTTTTTATCATATCCTTATAAGATTGAGCTTCCATCAAGGATATCAATATTAGATTGATATAATTAAAATATCTTATAAGCGAGAGGTTTTGTGAGGGAGTTTGATAGTTGGTTAAAAGTATAAATGTAAGAAACACATAATTAATACCTAACAAATTAATCTCTAATAAAGTGAAAATCAATGACAATATGCTTTGTGCTAAAGTAGAATATCGAGTTAGAGCATAGATAGGTGGCACCAATATTATTACAAATATTATAAAAGTATATTAGAGGCGATACCAAGTTTGTATAACAGATTAATGATCCAATTGAGTTCTACAGTAGTGGTGGCGATAGCTTAATATTCAGTTTCAGTGGTGGATCTTGCAACTATATTATGTTTTCTAAAACTTCAATTGATTAGATTTATTTTAAGGAAGATAATGTGGGTTTGTATAATATTCTATCATTAGTGTTGCTTGACTAATCATCATCGGTAAAAGCATAGGATAGGATGAAGTGATGAGTGTTTATGAAGAAGTATAAGATTGAGAGTCCCTTTAAGATATTGTAAAATACGTTTTAAGATAGACTAATACGTAATAGAGGGCCAATGCATGAATTGTGATAATTTGTTAACTACAAATAAAATGTTTGAATGTATAAGAGATAAATACTGTAAAGAACCAAGTACTTGTTGGTACTGTATGAGATCTATAGTAGTACTACTATTATATAATTTGAGTGACTTAGTAGTGGAGAGTGGGGTGATAACTTCTTTGGTATTCTATATATTAGGTCTTTGATAATAGATTCTCAATATGCTCCTTTTGAGGTAGGAAAAGTCTAGATGTGTTTGTTACTTTCACTCCCAAAAAGTATCATAAAGTTTATAAATCTTTGACGGAGAATTAATCTATCAATTACTTAAGAAATTACTTAATCTTTATGAAATTATTTTCTATGATGATAATGTCATCCACATAAACTAGTAGATATATAGTATATCTCTTTTGTTGTTTTAGGAATAAAGGTGTATCAAATTTGGAGTTGAAAAGTCAACTCTTATAAAATTTGAGCCAAGTTCGGTATACTAAGCTCTTGGTGCTTGGCGAAGTCTATAAATAGCTTTTTATAATTTATAAACATAATTTGGATATTGAGGATGGATAAAGCTAAGGGGTTATTACATAAAGACATCGTTAGTTAATGTCTTCTATAAAAAAAATATTGTTAACATCTAGTTAGCATATATGCGAATGATAGCTAAAGTCAAGATGAGTCGAATTATCATCACTTTAATAACTAGACTGAAAGTCTTTATGAAATCAACAAGGGTCTTTGGTGAAACTTTTTAGCAACTAAATGTGCTTTGTATTCTAGTAACGAATTCATCTAGGTTTCACTTAATTTGAAAGATCCACTTATATCTAGTGACAT